AAAAAAAACTCCAAAGGAAGATTGGGTTGGAGAGATATTCCATTGTCACTCTTGCCTGCAATGAGTTGCGCATGCTAATTTGAAGAGCCTTAAATTGCATGATTGTCTTTAAGGTTCAAGGTCTTTCCTTGATTCAGTTGATAGTTTGAATTAAATTGATTTATAGTCTTGCTGACATGTCCCTGACAACTGAATGTTAAGAAACAGAGGGAGCTAGTTGAATGTAGTAGACTCTTTTACATCCTTACCTCATCGAATCAATAAGAAAACTGCTTATTATAGGAATTAATGAAAACTTCAGCCTTCTGAAGTTCTTTGATGTTGAAGCTCTTCTGTCCGTGATCCTTTTGGTGTGAAAGACATACAAATCCCCCTTTGCCCTATGACTGCCCAATTGTTTGACCCTTAATCATGTTTCCAGATACTTTTCACATAGTTCCAAATGCTGGTTGAATATAATAAGAAAAAAATATTAGAATCATTGGACAAATACACATCCCTTTCATCTTCCTCACTTTTTGACAAGCATCTATATGCTTGCACAAACACTCATATATATGCTCTCACACACACACACACAAATGATTCATTTGAAAACTGGTTTGCATCTGCTGTATTATTTCACTCAATTTTTACACTGAATTGAAAAAGGAGAATCTTTATTTATGTGCAGATTATTATAGAGGTCTCAGATTAGTTTCTAAGCAGTGTCCCAAGCACATAAGATATTTCAGCAAGTCACATCCTAGTGCTCAGTACTAAATTAAATTTAAGGAAATGTACAAAATTGTTCCCTAGTTACCTGGAGTTTTCCACTTAATGTTTGATATAGAGAAAGCTAAAACTAAGATACTATTTTTTTTCAGTCCGTGAATATATCCAGTCATAGATCATAAGGCCAAGAGGGACTATGGTCAGCAGCTAGTTTGACTTTCTGTATAATTGAACATATAGGACTTCCTTGAATTAATTCCTATATGAACTGGAGCATATAAAAGTCAGTGTCTCAGCTCTTAGTAGATGTTGTTCCTTCATCAGTTCATTAAACTAAGTCTAAAGTTAACATATTAAAATGTTAATAAGAAACCAAACAGATATGTTAACATTGTACATCAGGTGAAGTGAAAAGTAATTAAATTTCAGTGAACTGTTCTCCTGTCAAATCCTAATACCTGACCTGACCAATGCAATAAATTCTATATACATGTGCATATGTACATGTACTACACAATATCTGTATGCCAACTAGACTTCCTGTATATTTTTAAAAAATTCTCACCTTTGGGCAGCAACTGTCTTTATGAGTTTTACACCATCATAAGAAAATATCAATGAGCACAAGACAGAGCTATCACTATGCAGCCTTATGCATTTTTTATTTCTTATAAACCTTTAAGCTTCTGGCATTGAGTCATCCTGCCCATCACCAAGACAACAAAAAGCTCGATTCATAAATATTACAAAATATTGGAATATGCTGAACTTTCCATTTGCCACCTTAAGATTCTTCCTTTTTATGGGTTTTTTTTTTTTCTGTAAAGACGATTATTTTAGAATGAACAAGCATCTGAATATGTGAGGCTTTTTATTTTTTTTGTAAAGAAGACTAAAAACTAAAGGAACAGAAAATTAGATTACAGAGAGTCTCTCAAGATAAGCGGGATGATTCAAATCACCTGACACATGGTAGCAACCATGTCAATTTGGGGACTTCCAATTCAGTGACACATCCAGTCAAATATTAATTGTAGGTTAAAGATGGACATGAGATCACGCCTGAGATTAGGTGGACTTTGGCCAGATCAATTTCATGAATCTGAAGAGAACATTGCTACTTGGCTCAATTTTAAGGTGTTGGGGTTTTTTGGTTTTTATTTTTTGGGGTTTTTTCCTATCTCTGTCAGCATCCTAGAGTTAGAGACTCATTACTCTTCAGTGTCACTGTCTGCCTAATTCTTCCTCTCAGCAATCAGAGGCTTTCCTTAGACAGAGGAACTAATCATCCAGTGGATGGATTTGTAGAGGTCTCCATACCTGGTTCTGAAGTAGACAGCAATGCTAATAGCAGTAAATGCAAGTCAAAAGAGGGGAGCAGAGAAAGAATGAACAAAAGGATAAGGCTTTGCAGATTTGCCTTGGACTGTGAAATATAAAAAGAAAGAAGCAAGAAAGTAGATGGCAAAGACAATGATAAGGCAACACAACTAAAGTGTTTGGTACTACTGGATAGTAGAGGGAAAATAGCAGGAGGGAATATCTAAGAGAAATAAAGCAGAAAAATTATGCTATAAAAGGTCGGTGGAAATGCAAACATATTTATTAGTGCAGTTTATTTATTGCAGCTCCAATAAATGCAGAAATTAAATGTACCTCCAAACATGACAATCCCCACAAAATAATGTGTCTGAAGCCACCAGATGGCACTGTTACACATACTGAGATAGAAGAGTTAGTCTGAAGTCAGATAGAAGGCAGGGTCTATTTGCACCTTATAGACTAATTAAATCAGAGATGTATAGCATAAGCTTTCATAAGAGGCACTCTTACTTCATCAGATACTGTGAAGAGACTGCAGGAAGCAGAGCTTCTAAATACAAAGCAGTGATTAGGCTGTTACACAGGTCTACAAGAATTTTTTCTTACGTGTAAGCAATATATAGTCTCAAGAAGTGTTACGTTGTTACTTTTACAATTGAAACTGCAGAGATCAGGGACAAACAGCAAGAGTGCAATACAATAATATTCATGTAGATGTTTAAGAAAAAAACTGAAATTCTCTTTGAGATTATACACACAGTTCCCTTGAATATCAAAGTACAGCATTTTCTATTGCCTACATATATAGTGGTAGTACCTTATTTATTTGGTTAGCAAATATCAAATTTACCAAAAATAATAATAAAAAACATAAGCAATGGAAAAAAAAAATAGATTTCTGTATATAGGCCCAGTTTTGCAAAATTAGTGCTTAGCCACAATTGCTAATAAAGCAATTAAGTCCTTGCTTAAATTCCCTTGAAATTAGTGGGACTTAAATGTAAGCATTCTCTTAAAAAGCACTGTTTAACTGGGACCATCCTTGCTTAATTCCATTTGGTGAAATTATCCCACAAGTTTATTTGCTCAGGTTTTTTTACAATTATTTTGACTACTATTTTCCAACATGCTACTGAGTTATATTTTAATCCTTCTTAAGCAGAAGAGGAAATGCCTATTAGTTGATTAATCCAAAGTCATACAGGGAATTGGAAATAAAACCTTAAAAAAAATCAGATACCCTCACTCCAAGGTTTGAACCATAAGATTTCCTTCCCTTATAATTTCCTCTGGACGTGTAAAAATGTACATACGTTCAGGTGAAGAATATTAGCCTATGTGCAAAACAACAGACTCTGTAGGATACAGTTAATTTACCTTGATATTTTCCTCTGATCAACATAGCAGTACAGAAGATGGAAAAAAAAAAAAAATCTTCAAATGGTCAATGAAAAGTAGCCTTACCAATTTAGTAAGGTGTGATGCCTCATTACTTAGACATGATGCACAGTTGTCATGATGCATAGTTAATTAGGCACATGAATGAACTAACAATACTCCACTTTTAATAAGAGAAGGCACAAAAGTCCTGACTTAGTTCTTCTTGAGTCTTCTAATCGTTAACACATATGGAAGTGGCTTTTCCCCAGTAAAACGTCTGATGCTATAGAATGCATAGAACTATTAAGATCCACACTTACAGGCCTAGCTTCATTGAGGTCATCTGGACTCGGAGTCAGTAACAGAGATTTTAAAAGTGTATACATCATAGCAGAAGTAATACATTTCTGTAGTGCCCAGAAGTTCAACTCTTGCTGCAAATGCCACTGTAGTATGGCATAGGACTGCAACACGAAACGATTGCAAGAATGAGATTTTCAAAATGCAGAGTCAAAAGCATGTGTGCTGCATTTGCGCTCAATCACAGTCTGAACCCTGACTTGTGCAGATACATCCTGATATATACATTCAATGAAACCATGCAAAGGTGTTCTGAGATATTTTTTTTTTTTTTTAAATCAGTTCTCTTTTTTCATGGGCAAGCCTGAGATGGAAATCTGAGATAAATTTACCAAATATTACTTTTGGTCAGCTTCCAAAGTATTACATTAATGTACTCATTTGGGGGCAAATTCTGACCATCAACAAAAAGTAACACATTATTCTGCCAATATTCAGTTTTACTTCAGTGGATATAGAGTAAGCTTATAGAGTAAGTTACTCCTCCAATTAAGTTAACTATCAGAACTAGAGCTGACCAGCTTTCCTGTGGAATGTTTGCCACCAAACAAAAATCAAACCTAAATATTTCACATAAATGTATAAATTTCAACAAAAGTTTGTTTAAAACCAAAAAATTGGAAGAAAAGAATGTTGATAGAGCTAAATCATTCTATTTTAACTTTTACAGAATAGAGGTTTTTGATATCTCCTTTCTTTTATGATTATGTTTTAGTTTTGTATTTTATATAATAGCATTTGAACAATCCAGATTGGGGGCAAGGCATCTTTTCATTCAAAATATTTTTTATTTCTTTTTTTCCCAGGATAGTTTGATTTATTTTTTTTAAATTTCAAAAGACAAATATCAAATTTACAATATTCCCTGATTTATAAATAAGAGCCCCCTGATTTTGGCACTTTTAATGAGAATCTAGAATTTTTGGCAAAAACTTTCTGCCATAAAATTGCATGTAAAATGCATATTGTGCAATATTTCTGTGATCAGTACACGCTTTTGTTTATGAAGTTAAATGTTCAGCTTACAAACATTTATGCTTTCCTCACTGAAAAAGTAAAGATGTTTTTATTTTATTTTTAAGTTAGTAAAAAGGGAAAGCTAAAAGACTTTTCCTCCAGGGATATTAGAAATATCCAATGTAATGTCTTCTCTGCTTTAACAAAAACATATGCAGGGCATCCCTGCCTTATACTGACATAGTGAATGTAAGAGCATTTGGCACCTGTTTTGTACTGAAGATTTGCCTGGAGTCCGCCTCAGAAAGGACCCGCTGTTTTCCGATTCCTACAGTATATAAATGTTAACAGTGTTTGTTAAAGCCATCATCTTTGTTACAGAGAATACTCTTAAAAGTATAACATATGTGTTTATACACGTTATAAATTCATATGATGTATATCACAGTTCAAAAACATTCATAGGTGTGTAAGTCGCCAGCCCAGAGCTGCACATAAATAGTAAAGAGCCTGAGATGAAGGAAGGAGCCAAAGCATAAGAATAAGAGGGAGTTTTTCAGGAGACCTTGATGCAAACCTTTCTCAAGGATCAGGAGACACCAGTAATAAATGGAGTATGACAAAAGTTTCCTTATTTATATTTTGTGGCTTATATCTTCAGTTTATTTGACTGCAACAGGCCTTTATCAAACCAACCAAGTGGAATGTTCAGCTTGGTTTAGCCTAGTGAAGTGGCTGCTTTTGTTTCAACTTTCCACCTTTTCTAACATGTCCTTGAAGCTTGACAACAAAATTTATTTCCCTTTTTACTTCATATTCTGTTTCACTTGCTTCTGCTTCTTTCCCCCCCTCCCCTTTCCCTGTAGTTTTCTCAGATTGTGCACCAAGCACAGCCATCCTTAACAATGAATGCATGTACATCCAAGCATATACCAGGAGATTCCTGTACATTCTATTTGCTATTTCTCTATTGTATGGTGAATCAGGTTTTGTGAAATAACTTTAAGGACAGAAAATAGGGAAAATATGCAAAATACCTGTTATTTCCATATCAAAATTGTAACTATTTATTATATTATATTCTTCAGAGAAAAGAAAAATAAAATCAGTGAGGGATGTTTAGAAGCAAGGGAGCAAATATATGGTTCACACAGGCTGTATACACATGTTCAAGGAAGCTGATGTTGATTAGATCATGTTAAACATGGCCACCGGCACCAGTGAATGCTGGAAAAACAGGCCCTGAGAGCAGTTTGTGGAATTAGGGGTAATTCAGTATGGCTGTGTGAAATTTCATGAAGTGTTTTGTTTTGAAGCTGTTTTGACATGTTTTGAGCTCAAAACAGCAAAACTGGAATGAAACAAAAAGCACTGAAACAGCTTCAGGACTAAATGAGGGCACTTGAAACCTTTGAAAAGTTCGCGTTTCAAAGCAGCCCAATGGTGGGAGGCAGGGGAGAGCCAAGGCTGCTCTCCAAGTGGCTCCACAGCCCCATGTAGCTCAGCCCTGGCTCTCCCCATATCCTGCCACTGGGCTGTGCTCCATTGGACTTGCATAGCTGATTGGAGTGCAGTGCCAGCTCTGCCCACCTCCCACTACCGGACTGTACTCCATGGGGCTGGCAGAGCCAATCAGAGTGCAGCCCATTGGTAGGAGGTGGGTAGAGCCAGCACTGAGTTCAAATCGGCTCCACCAGCCCCATGGAGGGCAACCCAGTGGCAGGAGGCAGGCAGAGCCAGCACTGCACTCTGTGGGGCTTATGGAGCCAATCAGAAAGCAGCACTGGCTGTACCCACCTCCCACTACCGACCTGCACTCCATGGGGCTGGTGGAGTCAATCAGAGTATAGTCCGGCAGTGAGAGGTAGGAAGAGCTGGGGCTGCGCTCCACCTCCTACCACTGGGCTGAGATCCATGGAGCCCAGCACTGGTCCCAGGCAGCAGCCTTCTGTCATCCAGGCACAGGTCCAGGGGTCCATACCCCCTGGAAGAGTCCAGCACAGCCCTGCAGCCCTGTTGGGGGTGCAGAGCCCTGGATCTGTGCCTGGATGACAGGAGGCTGACATTCCTGCAGCAGGGAGCATAGCTAGCAGCCAGAGTTTGGGTCCAACCGACCAGGTTCTAGTTTTGGGCATTACATGCTATTGCCATATGTGCCACCCCAATTTTTTTAGGTATGGGTTTTTTTGACTCTGGGATCTCCCAGGGTAAAAAATAATTCCCCTATTCTACAAAGTGGCAGTGTGGGGAATGCCTGCATGTGAAGCTATGTGGTACTTGGCACCACAGATGGATCTGCAGCACTGCATACTGCACATCTGCACTTGTCTGGAAGGGTCCTATGTGGTTAACAAGACAAGGAAACAAAGCAGTTTTGTAGGCAATGGGAAAAGTTCTCTCATGGTGTAGGTTTATATTCCATATCAGTATGATAATTAAATGAACATACAAGTTTTCATAAGATCATAGAAAAATTAGAGCTGGAAGGGACCTCAGGAGGTCATCTAAGCCAAACCCCTGCTCAAACTGGGACCATCCACAACTAGACCGTCACAACCAAACCTTTGCCTAGCTGGGTCTCAAAAACCTCCAAGGATGGAGATTCCACAACTGCTCCGAGTAACTTGTTCCAGTGTTTTACTACACTCCTAGGGAAAAAAAGTTCTTTCTAATATTTAACCTAAACTTCCCTTTCTGCAACTTGAGACCATTGCTCCTTGTTCTCTCATCTGAGAAGAGTCTAGCTCCATCCTCATTTGAACCCTGCTTCAGGAAGTTGAAGGCTGCTAGTAAGTCCCCCCTCAGTCTCCTTTTCTATAGACTAAATAAGCCCAGTTCCCTCAGTCTTTCCTCATATGCCATGTACCCTAACCCCCAAAACATTTTTGTAGCCATCCACTGGACTGTCTCCAATTTGCCCACATCCTTTCTGTAATGGAGGGCCCGAAACTGAGCATAGTACTCCAAATGTGACCTCACCACTGCTGAATAGAGGGGGATAATCACTTACTGGACTGCATTGGTTGGAGTGTTGCCAGCAGGGCAAAGGATGCCTTTAGCTTTCTTGGCAACAAGGGCACACTGTTAGTGCATATTCAGTTTATTGTCCACTTTAACATCCAGGTCCTTTTCTGCAGAGCTGCTGCCCAGCCAGTCAGTCCCGAACCTGTACCTGTGGATGGGATTGTTCTGTCCTAAGTGCAGGATTTTTCATTTGCCCTTACTGAACCTCATATTTCTTTTGGTCCAATCCTCCGATTTGTTTAGGTCTCTCTGACTCCTAGTCCAACCTACCAATATGTCTACTACTCCCCTCAACTTGGTGTCATCTGCAAACTTGCTGAGGGTGCACTCTGTGTCATCTTTCAGGTCATCAATGAAGATACTGAACAACCTTCAATGTCTTCATCAGCAACTTGGATGAGGGAGTGAAGTGTACTCTGTCCAAGTTTGCGGATGACACAAAACTGTGGGGAGAAGTGGACAAACCAGTGGGCAGGGAACAACTACAAGCAGACCTGGACAGGTTGGACATATGGGCAGAAAACAAAAGAATGCAATTCAACAAGTAGAAATGCAAAGTGCTGCACCTAGGGAGGAAAAATGTCCAGCATACCTACTGCCTAGGAAATGACCTGCTGGGTGGCACGGAAGCAGAAAGGGATCTTGGAGTCCTAGTGGACTCCAAGATGAACATGAGTCGGCAGTGTGACGAAGCCATCAGAAAAGCTAATGGCACTTTATCGTGCATCTGCAGATGCATGACGAACCGAACCAAGGAGGTGATTCTCCCCCTCTATCGGGCACTGGTCAGACCGCAGTTGGAATACCGCGTGCAATTTTGGGCACTGCACTTCAAGAGGGATGTGGATAACCTGGAGAGGGTCCAGAGAAGGGCCACTCGTATGGTTAAGGGCTTGCAGGCCAAGCCCTATGAGGAGAGACTGGGGCACCTGGACCTCTTCAGCCTCCGCAAGAGAAGGTTGAGAGGCGACCTTGTGGCTGCCTATAAGTTCATCACGGGGGCACAGAAGGGAATTGGTAAGGTTTTATTCACCAAGGCGCCCCCAGGGGTTACAAGAAATAATGGCCACAAGCTAGCAGAGAGCAGATTTAGA